GCCTTCGTCCTCCAGTTTGGCAGCAGCCACTTTGAGCACACTTCGTTTCGGCCATATCAGGGTCTATTGTGGTCAGAATCAGGGCACACAAGCGTACAGACACACCAGCAAACAGATGGACATACAAATACACAGACAGACAGACAGCGAAACCAAAGTTGGAATACAAAATAGGATAATCTTTTGATGAGTTCGGTCGGGTTGATCTTTGCAAAAGGACTTGAAATGAGCAAATTATCACAAGTTAACATAATTACGATAAAATATATACCAACCATTCAGATTATTGCCGTCACAATCAAACACACCTTATTTGTATAATTTTCACCCCCAGCCTTGCTTTCGCTTCTTTTGTACCTTCTGTCTAGATCCACCTTCGCTATGAGTTACCAATTCGGTGTTTTAAATATGACCAACTTTCTAAATGGATTTGGTAGATGCGCTCTTGCTCTAGACTGGAGGCTAGAAAGGAAAGCGGAATGATTTGATCCTTGAAATATGGTCGCCTCTGAGGTTTAAATGCTGTCTTCGAGAACTTGCTGGATGGTGTGGAGGGTTTTCCCGAACCAAGAAGCGCCGACCGGTTCTGGACGGTGCTTGTGTCGTTGTAACCCAAAGCGCCTAAACATTTGAAGCCGGAGTTGTGATGCTCTGCTCGACGTCGCCAAACGCAGCTGAGGGTGGGTTTACGGTCAAAACGCGTTGAAGAGATGAGGATGTGAAGAGTCATAGAATACGAGCTATATTCACACTAGGTTGCTTAAGTTAATAATGGGCCAATATATGAATTTACAATCAATGATATGAATATTTCGTTTTGAGTAGGTTTTCGTGACGACCAGTAAATCGGTTCTATGATTTATGCTTACCCTATTTGGTTTAAGGGCTGACGTTTCGACTGGATGAAAATTCCTTTTAGGAAAGTAGGATTTTGCGAAATGCAATGGAGCGTCGGGTCTACTTATAACATTGTGGGAAAATTCCACTACCAGTCCTTCATCGCATGAAAACGAAATTGGCTCAACATAACTGATAGAATGATATGAATAGTCCTCGGGTTTTCATTGAATTTCACTTCGTTTTTCTTCCAGACAAGGTATTTTCATTTCTATTTAGCTGGAATAGACGGAATTTCGACCTGGACGAGAACTCGGGTTGCGGCATGCAGTGCGTAAACTCGTCACGTTAAAACGAGTGCTCCTGAGTGATAGGGCAGACGTGAGTATCAAGATGGGACTAGGAATTTCCCATGTCACGTTCTCACCGAAGTGGAAGCATCGATGGGAAAAACATGTTTATGGCAAATGAAATCAACTAAATTACACATAATTGTACAAATATTCGTACAAAGCAATACTTCAATTTATCAGATTATCTTGAAGGTGGGCTTCACCTCATTGAAATTCAGTGCTAATATTCATATAAAGTCGGGTTAGAAAAAATCACAATACCTTATCTTAAGAGTCTCATGTTAGCTTATTTAAACAATTATATTCGCATAAAGGAGTTCTTTAATTTATAAGATTATTTTGAATTAGAGCATCAACTTATGTAAATGCACTACTCATATTCGTAAAGAGTAGGCTTTTAAATTATCAGAATAACTTGAATAAAAGTCTCATCTCATATGAATTCTGTGCTTATATTACAATTAATTTTATTTCGAAAGTATCCCACAATCTTGTTTTAACAACCTCATGTCATGTGAATTCAACTCCTATATTCGTGTAAAGTTGTTCTTAATTTATCAGAGCAACTTGAATACGAATCGGATTACTTGTGCATTCATTCTATAAAATAGCTTTCTAAAAGCTCCGAAGCACCTCTAGCAGAAGTACACCTTTTGTGAACTTGATTATTTGAAGCTTTATGTCAATATTTACTGATAGTTTCGAAACCTGTTGTTTATGAATAAGAGAAGACTTTATATCTCAGGTGCCTTGACTCCAAATTCGCTTCAGTCTGTTTTCCCCTCTATCACCGAGGACTGCGTTTTACTCAAGAAGAATTTGGATTAAATCTGATATTTGATATAATGTGATGAAAGACGAAACGAAAATGTGATATTTCTCTGCTAGCCTCAGTTTTTTGTAGGCCAGTCAACAGATTAGTCTAGATGCTTCGCTGGACTGTAGAATCATGTCTTGTCTTCTTGGTTGATAGTTTAAAGGTCAGCATATGCCAATATTGGGCGAGAGTTTATTTGTGCAATCTGCTCATCCTCTCTTTGATGTGTGCTTTAGATAGTCTTATTTTGCTGATCTCAAACTAGACGTACGTAAATAAGTTCAGAGTAGAACTTTGATCATAACAAAGTCGCTTAAAGATCACTACTCTAGCTTGGCTGACACGACCTCCGCCAACTTTATAAAACAATTAAGATTTGGGATTTCCATGTTTGATGCAACCTTGCATCGAACCTAGCACAGCCATAAGAGGGGGCAAATGTTTTTCTGGAAGTTGAGAAAACCTGGGTAGCGAATTTTAGGCATAAACCCCACATACAATGAGGGTTCATATACGAAAGCTATTAATCACCAATTCCATTCATACCCAAGCACTAGTGGACTAGAAAATAAAATTCTGGTGCTCATACAGTCTACTTAAGAAGCTTAGTTAAATAAAAGATTACAAAGTAGTTTAAAAATGGCATAGAAAGAACAGGTAGAGTTATTCTCATATATTATTGCCACGTCCCCAGAAAAAAAAATTTTCTGACTAGCCTTTGCTCATTCGATGGGCAGGTGCCTTTTATTTTGTAACAGTAGGAAATAAAGATATATCATTGGCGAAATACTCAGTAGTTGTTTATGCTTTCAAATTATGCAAAAATAAAAAATATTAAGCAACTATGACTTCCACTTTAAATATTTGCTGAAATTTTATAAAATCAAATAAATAGCACTGCCATTTGTTTTGTATTTTAATTTAAAATTTTATAACCATTGCAAGTTTTTATAAAGTTCAAAAAATATTTTAAAGTGAAGGATTTTAATAAATGTAATTTCAAAAACATGCTGTAGACCTTATTTTAGCTTAGGATGCATCAAAGCAAACTTATGCATTCAAATGATCTTATCACTTGAGGATATCTTAAGATGTGTATAATATTTGAGAGAAGAACTAGCAAAATTCATCTGTGAGTTTCTATAAAGAGCCAACTTTACCAGTATCGTGCTGACAACAGATTTTCGGCTGAATTGAAATCTTTTAAAAAAAGATAATTCATTCATTACAAACTCCAATACAATGTGTTTCTCGTATCCAATTAAAGTCTTATCGACAGAAGTAATGTAGCTCCAGTGAACACTCCCAGAGGCATTAAATGCCCGGCCTATCTATTATAAATATCGAAAATG